CACTTCCGTACGATGGCAATCACAACATTTTTTTTTTTTTCATCTTTTTGGTCACGACAACAATCACAACATTATATTTCAGATTTATTTACTCTTCAACCATAGATTCCCAACAATTTCTGAAAACAAGTGCCAAACGAGAATGCCAAATGTTTGTCATGAAATGATATAATAAACCAACTATGCAAGCTTAATTTCATGATTAGCATATATGATATGATATGTACTACCTTGGCAAAAAAGAAATGAAAAAAAATGAGGTAAAAATTTTGGTTCGGGAAACCTCAATAGGCATCTAAGCCATAAAACATTAAATTTTGAAATTGTTTTCTTGAAGATATGATATTTCTAACCTCTCGATCAATACTCTTAAAGATGGAAAAGTTGGTTTGGTTGTGTACCACATTATTCTTTGTTTCCAGAGGTAAAATATTGTTTCTTGGACCACAAGCGTCATGAGAAGAGATGGGGACAAATTAGAACTCTCCTTTATCCAATAGAGAAACTCAGGCTACATTATGAACGTTTGGAGCGGGAAATTTAGCCACGTGAGCTAGTCCCCAAACCTCTAAGTTGTATTCACACGTTAGGAGAAGATGGTCCCGAGTTTCCTCCAACCTGGAACAAAGGCAACATGCTGTTGAAATTTGAAGACCCTAAAACCAAATGTGCCCTTGTTGATAATCTATTTAAGTTAGTAATCCATATTCTGAAGAAATGCTTGGGTATAGACCCTTTAAACCATATCAGACTAGTCCAGTTCCTCACCTCTGCGCTCGACCTCATAGCTTCTAAATGTTTTTGAGGATGAGATCAGCTTACGGTATACACAATACACCACTCATATTGATCTTGAGGTGAGCTTGTGTTTGGAAGCATTACCGTAGTAAGATGAGCTTCTTCATTCCAAAGGACTGCAAGTTTCCAGCCATTAGAGTTACAAGCCTCAACAACTTTGGCATGGATTGGAATTCTTGGGCTTCTTGGACCCGTCCCAAGTAGTTAAGAAGCTACTCCAGAGGAGTCCAAACATCACATGAAAACCTTATTTCCTTTCAATCACTTAGCACTGCCTTGACAAACCTTAAAACATCCGGTCTAAGCTTCAATAATTCTTTCGAGGTCCAAGAGTCATGATTTGTTTATTCCACTTTCCATAAGCTTTTGTTTCTTAAATGGTGCATCATTTGCCTTGCTATCCATAGGGAGTCACGATTAGAAAACAACAATGAGATCTCTGTTCCATACTGAGAATTTTCTAGGATCAAGACCCCTTTCAGTTTTATCTATTAATTAATTAAGAACACACCTGAAAAATCAATTGAATCATTTGTATATTAATTAAAAATACACCTCAAAAGTTTAGTTTATGTTTCAAAGAGCAAAATAAGGGCTTTATATGATTTATTTTTAACGAATTTTTCCGTATTTGTATGCTAAGTTATGAAAATAGGAAAGAAAAACAAGGGAAATGTATGTTAAGTTTAGTTTTCGGAAACTGGCCATTATATATAATGAGAATGATGCTAAATAATTGAGATAGGTTATGGAAGCACATGGGATATAAAATATCATATCATTTGATATCTTAAAGGTGATAAAAGGTTTCCTTACAAAATCCTTGTGATTGGTACTTCACAGATAACTTAAAACTAAAAGGCAAAGTAGTCGCTTTAAACAGAACATAAAGGATTTGGGTAAAAAAGGTCGAGGAGACAGACAAGCACATGTGCACCATCTTTTCATAAGTAGGTTTTTAATTACTTTTAGAATTATAATCATTTTTTTCTTCTAATAATTAGGGGATAGTGATTCGAATTTTTACACGATCCGATTAATCTCTCTAAGATGAGTGTAACCGTCGAGTAGATAGAGTCTGACTATCGGAGGCTTTAGATTGTGTATCATTAGTTTTTTGGCTTTATTTCTTAACTATGCACTCTGAAATATTACCCATTGATCTATATTTACATGTTTTTATTTTTTTTAAAAAGTTGCCACTGGAAGCATTTTTTAAAGGTAGTTTTTTGTTTTCAACAAATTATAAATCTAAACTATTCGTCTTTAACGATTGTTTATCTTTTTAGTATAGGTGTTTAACCGACAATTAAGCATTTTTTAAAGGTAGTTTCTCGTAGCTAACTAGAAAATCATGTCCATAGCCTTGTGGTCAAGTGGTAAGGAGACGGTTTGTAGTATCAACACGCTTC